AAAAAGTAACCGAGATTTGAGCATTAGATATGGCTTGCCTTCTAAGTACTGTTAGGATGAAAGTGTTGAATATTAAGGTAGAATTACTCCGAGCCTTGCTGGGGAAGAGTTTCGGTGCATATTTCTCATTATTATACTGTTGAATAATTCTGTTTAAGCTATAATGCTACTTTGATTAATTTTTTGGTTTGCTCAGATATACGGTTGCTAATTAAAAATGACGATAAATGGTTTCCAGTTTTAGGTTTCTGCATTATATATGGTCTGATAATATATATGTGAAGTTCATTTACAGCTTCCTTTCCCACTCCGCATGCTATATTTTAATGTCATCTGTTTTTGCCGTCTAGAAATCTCTCACGAAATTGATTACGATAATGGCTTTTATTATTGGTTCAAACTGAGTAAATAATAGTTTAAGGTTTATACCGAGGACCTAAATGAATGAATTGATCGTACGACGAAAAGCTGTTGTTTTTAAGCATTTAACTGTGGAAATGTTTTCAAGTGGATCTTATATTGTGGACTTGATATTGGCTGATGGCATGCTTCTGTGTTTTACTTGCAGTGCATACCGCTCGTTATACATTTTCAACTGGATATACCGCTACTTTACTGAACCACACTATGTGCACTGGATAAGTATGTCCTCTTTCTCTCCCTCCCTCTCTCTGTCTCTCTCTCTCTCTGTGTGTGTGTGTGAAAGTGTGTGTGCGCGCGCGTGACTGCGTGCACTTTTTTCGTGGATGTACACCTAATAGACATTGAAGATTCTGCCAAGTCCTTTTTTTCGAGCTATTATGCAAATATTCGATTTTAAAGCAACTTGTTTAGGTTGTGACTATATTCAATATTAGAAGGGAGCTTGTCAACTTTATATGAAAACCGACCCATTGACATCCATATTCTGGTTCTTGCCTTGCACTTGCAGCATGGATTTCGGGGCTAGTTCAGACACTGCTTTATGCTGATTTCTTCTATTATTACTTCCAAAGGTAAGAGTGATACAAACCATTACCCCCCTCTACTCATCTCCAAATTTAATATATGTATTTTTTAATTTCTTGTTCACTGTTTCAGCTGGAAGAATAATGTGAAGCTCGAACTGCCTGCTTGAGAATTTGTATCCGAACAAGATGCCGATAGTTTTGAGCGTCTTGCCATACGTTGGACCACTCTTTAGATGCCCTGCATTCTGGCTATGGTCATTAACTGCCTCCAGCTTGTTCTCTGTTTTCCAATGGGTCTTGAGAGGAGAAGCAGAACATTTTTCTTTTTTTCCTTTTTATTACCTCAAGGAGCAGTTTATTNTTTGTGGAAAAAAAAAAATAAAAGTTGTGGAAAAGTATAAAACAGCCGAATTTTCGTAATCCGTTTTTCTAATAAAATTTTTATTAGAAAAATGGATTCCCACAATCCGTTTTTATTTTTGATTTTTTTTTTTTAAGATAACGGTCGAATTTAATAATAATAATACATTCATTGCGTAAAACGGATTTTCAAAATTCGTTTTTTATTTTATTTTTCTTTTTTATTTTTAAAAGATAACGTTCGAATTTAATAATAATAATACATCCACTGTATAAATCGGATTTTCAAAATCCGTTTTTTTATTTGAAAAACGAATAAAACGGATTTTCGAAATCCGTTTTTTTCTTGATAAATATACTTCCGAGACAACCCCCATTTCATTTCTCCTCTCCCATTTCATTTTCTCCTCTCCTTTTTTGCTCGATTTTATTGCGAATTGAAGCTGCAATTAAAAAAAAAAATTCCCATTTCATTTATCCTCTCGTTTTTTGCTCGATTTTTTGGCGAATTGAAGCTGTTCCCGGAAAAAAATCAATTTTTCAACCAATCGTCGAAGAAGAGGTTAGTTGTTATTTTAATATAATGTTATTTCGGCGAAGGAACGAGCTTTACCATGAGAGGACCGAACATTGAGGAAGAAATTGTTGGAGATGAAGATTTCATTCCCGGTGAAGACGATTTCACGGATGAGACCTCAGAAACCGAATCGGACAGATCAATTAATGAGAGCGAACAAGAATTCATTGAAGAACACCCCTTTCCAAATGAAGGTCTCTACGATTATCGCGAGATGGGTGAGTGGGACTCGTCGTGTGTAGACAGGGACGAGTATGCCTTGCCAGTCTGGGATGGGCATGTCGAGACTATCCATTTGGGTACAGTTTTTCGTACCAAGGAAGAAGCCCGGATTGGTATTAATGCCTGGAATGTTGAGAAGCTTAGGGCGGTCCGGACAAAATATTCCAACAAGAAGTCGTTCAAAGTTGTGTGCAGATCAGATGAAGTTGTACCATGTATATGGAAGGCCCGAGTGAGTCTTAACAAACGGGATCACGGCATGTGGGAGGTAACCGAATGGACCGATAGCCACACTTGCATGCAGGTATTCGAGAGAAATAACCACAAGAATGTGACCGCCACCATGATCTCAAATCTTCTGTTGGCTAAGATTCAGAAGCAGGTGACCTACAGTGTGGAAATAGTCCTGGCCGACGTAAAAAGTGTCTGGGGCGTCGATGTCAGTTACAAGAAGGCGTGGCACGGGAGAAAAAAATCCATTGATCGTCTGCATGGCACGTGGGAATCGAACTTCGCACAACTCCCCCAGTAAGCAAAAATTAATTATAAACGTATTTACGTGTTGTTTGTAACTATATTTATTTATTTATTTATGGTTACTTTTTATAATTTGCAGGTTTTTCGCCGCCCTTCAAATGGCGAATCCCGGTACAGTCGTTGAGTGGGAATGGCAGGGTGGAGAAATGGCGAAGCAATCTCGAGACAAAGAATTCAGATTTGTCTTCTGGGCGTTCGGCCCCGCCATTCAAACCTTCCTTCGTTGCCCGCCGATTATTAGCATCGACGGCACGCACCTGCGAGGTTCGTACAAGGGGAAACTACTTGTTAATATTTTATTTTCTAATTTACAATATTGTCTGAATAAAAAAAAAAACATATGTCCAACTGAGCAGGTTTGTACAAGGGGAAGCTGCTTGTTTCCATAGCACAGACCGCGAATAAGCATCTATTGCCAGTGGCGTATGCGATTGTGGACGAAGAAAGCACGACTAGCTGGTCCTTTTTCCTAACACATCTGCACCATCATGTCGTTCCCGACAGACCGATATGTCTTCTTTCCGACAGGGACAACGGCATATTGAGTGCCGTTGAATTACTGGAGACTTGGCACGAACCCCATGCATTTCATCGGATATGCCTTCGACACCTCCGGAGCAATATGTTTTCAAGGTACTGGAATAAACAAATCCGGGGTTTGTGTTGGAGGTGGGGTTCACTGTGTTCACGCCGCAAATTTGAGCAGAGTCAACAGGAACTCCATGAATGTAACCCGGACGCATACGATTACCTTTTCAAAATTCCTCTGGAAAAGTGGACCCTGTACAAAGATGGAGGACGTCGATGGGGCACTCTGACAACGAATATGTCAAAGAGTTACAACAATGTCCTCAAAGGTGTTAGGTTCCTGCCCTGCAGAGCGTTGGTACAGGTCACAATGAACAAGACTCTGGATTTGTTTGAACAGGAACAAAAGAAGTCCAGAGGATGCAGGACTCCCATTCCTACCGACCTCTATGCCGCCTATCGGGTGTTGGAAAAGACGGCAGTGACTCACGAGGTGCGATGTGTGGACGCCGACAGATCCCAGTACATGGTGACAACCGGTCTACGCGCCAATGGAAGAGGGCAAAGCAAGTATGTATTTTTTAATTGTAATATTTTTTTCCATTCAAATGAGTTTTTTTTTTTTTTAATTTATATATATAAATCATTGTTGAAAATAGGTTTAAGGTCTATTATCAGCAGCAGCGTTGTGCATGTAGGAAATGGCAGACACATCGAAAACCATGCTCTCATGCAATTCGAGTGTGTCGTCACCGGGGTGATCAACCAGTGTCGTTGTATAATCCCTACTTTTGGACGGAGAACTGGGTTGCTCAATTTTCTAATTGGAATTTTGCTCCAATTGGAAATCCTGACACGTGGCCGCAGGTGGGATGAAATTTGATTTCGCATTGGGAGAGGATCATCTCGATGCCTGGACCCGGTCGCGCCCAAACGAGACGCTTTAAAATGCAAATAGATCGTCGGGCGCGCCGCAGAAGGGGCTGGGATCAATGCACTAGATGTGGTGATCCCGAACATTTCGCGGACCGTTGCCCGTATTCGCATCCTCCCATCGATCGAACTAGACTCCGCGATGATTGGGGGAACTAGATTTTTTTAGATGAATATTTTGTATTTGGATGATTTTGTATTTGGATAATTTATATAATGTGTAATCGAATTCGAATTAGTACAATTAAAGTCAATTAGTACAATTATAGTGAAATCAAACTCGAATTAGTACAACTAAAGTCAAATTAGTACAATTAAAGTCAAATTAGTACAATTGAAGTCAAATTAGTACAATTAAAGTCAAATTAGTACAATTAAAGTGAATTATAGTGAAATCGAACTCAAATTAGTACAATTAAAGTACAATTAAAGTCAATTATAGTGAAATCGAACTCGAATTAGTACAATTAAAGTCAAATTAGTACAACTATAGTGAAATCGAACTCGAATTAGTACAATTAAAGTCAAATTATTACAATTATAGTGATATCGAACTCGAATTAGTACAATTAAAGTCAATTAGTACAACTAAAGTCAAATTAGTACAATTAAAGTCAATTATAGTGAAATCGAACTCGAATTAGTACAATTAAAGTCAATTATAGTGAAATCGAACTCGAATTAGTACAATTAAAGTCCAATTAGAATAATCTCGGTCAAAATTAGTACAACCGAACTCGAATTAGTATATAATATATAGTATATAATTTATAATATATAGTATATAATATATACCATATAGTATATACCATATATAACATATAGTATAAACTAAAGTGTAAAAAATTATTTATAAATAAACGGATTTTGAAAATCCGTTTTGACCATTCAACGAGAAAAACGGATTCTCAAAATCCGTGTTGACCATTCAACGATAAAAACGGATTCTGAGAATCCGTTTTTCAGTTAATAATAAAAAAAATCGGATCTTTTTCCCCATTTCGTCTCTCTCTCTTCTCGACCTCACTGATCGAAACCCTCCCTTCCCCTCGACCCTCTTCTCTCCTCCGCGACCTCCGCCGCTGCTACCTCATCGCCGCCGCCTCCGCGACCTCCGCCGACTGCCGCCGCTGCGCCTCC